GATTTAGGAGTATCCCTTACCTGATTTAGGAGTATACCTTCACCTGATTTAGAAGTACCTTTTACCAGAACTCAACCATTTCGTGTCAGATAAGACTATACTCGCTGTTAATGCCCCTGAACCGTCACTAACCGTATTATTCACAGTAAGACTTTTGATGGCGATTCAAAATAGAGCTTTCTTTAAACAACAGTGCATGCCTTTACTGAGATGATTAGCTAGATTTTAAAGTATTCTTTGCGGCTCGTATCACATGTCCATGACGCGACAAAATACAGAGAGTTTGCCGTATCTTCTTATTTCCATCTTTTCTTGAGTTCAATTGAACTTTGACGGTCTCATGGCGGCAGCCTTTGGTGAAACCCCCATTGCCTCCTAAACTAAAAAACTCAAAAATCAAAAAATATTTTTTTGCTCGCATGAACACATAACAATCAGTTATTGAATAGATATAAATTTCTACATTTGCAATCAAAGCCTTCTTTATTGAGGCGGTCAAAAACTATTTTATACAAATTTATTTAATTTAATAACAGCATAGTTCTTAATCATGCAATCAAATACCTCAACACTAGTTATTGATAATACGCCTATGTTGACAAAAAAAAACACCGCTAACGAAATGTTGAATTAACTCTAAATTGACCTCAAGTAAGCGCAGTTTGTTTTCCGTGCTACAAAACAAAAAGAAAAACACTAAGCTTCTTGATGTCTATTTATTATTGCAATATCGTAGTCTTTCTTTGTATACTACAGCCGCTGCGATATTGTGACTTGTCACTAAGCCAACATTCAAGGGAATGATTTATGTCGCTCGTCATAAAGTACTCAGATTTAGAAGTCTGGATCTGTTTTGGGGGTAATGAAGTCCAAGGTTATCGAGATATCGAGCGGTTTTCAGCGCTATTGCTGCCGCGGCGGTCACTTTTTAAGAAAAATTCTCTTTTTAGAGCCTTGTAAGTAGTCAAGACTTACTCACAATTCGTCATATTTCCTCTCTTTAGGCCTGCATTACCTGTGCGCTGTGTTCCAGTGTGTCAGCGAGTATTTCCCTGTAACATAACTAACTTTTATCTAAAAAAGAAGGATACAGATAATATCACGATCCGGTGGCGCATATAGTCCAGATAGTACCTAAGTTTAGCTTGCGGAAACTTTTACTAGGAGATCCTGTTCAAGATTTCTCCTTCCACTAAGGTGGATCTTGGAGTTAGCATACATGTTCAACATTCAGTTACAGAATCCTTTCCGAAAAAAGCTAGCACACAGAGAATGCTGTTAGTGTCCTACTTTGTTTGGAAAGGATTTTGTAAGATTATTGACAGTTTTTTTCAGCGAGTAATTTTGAGGAGCAAGAGTGAGAATGTTTTCTCACCGACTCGCCCTGTCGCACAGAACGTTATGAAAATGTAGTTTTATAATCTTCATCATTATTTACTAGGGTTTCGCATTTTTTTCAGTAACAGTTTATTCCTTTTATTACAAATCTCTTCTATTTAGTACTGAGTAAAAACTTTGTAATGTCAAAGATGCACAGTTCAAAGTTCCGCCCTCTTCTCCACCCCTTTATCGAATAGCACCAACCCTTGCCCTTCCGTTTTGTTCCGGAACGCGTGCGCGTGCAATTTTTAGTTCAGTTACAAAAGCGCGGGAAAATTCGTTTCGATTTCTCAAACCACGACCAGAACAATTCTTTTCCAAAAAGACATTTCTAAGTTTATAGTAATGAAATATCTTAGCTTTTTATTGTTATAAATAAATATAAATAAATAAACTCTTTATTTACTGAGGGTAGCGCTAAATAGCAATATGCTAACAAACCTGTGGCCCTCTATATAAACTATGAAGATATGTTTATAAAAACTATAGAATTATAACTACGAGATAAAAACCCCTACACTAAAAAAATAAATTGTAACTAATAGTTAATAAATTATTATTGAATAAAAAAAGAGAGAAAAGGATGAAAGGCGACGTTCGATATCTTAAATTTCAGCCTCGGGATGAATGGTGCTTATAATTTTGAAATCGCGAGCCTATCGGAAAAAGAGATGAAAATTGATGCCTATGTTTTGATACTTTCGACATTCAGGAAAGATATCCGCCCTTTTCTAATATTCCAGCAAGTTTGCATTTAGAAAATGAACGAATAAAAACTTATGACCATCTTAAGAGCTCTTCTAGCGAGAGCACAAACGATTTTAAGAAAATAAACAGATTTCTAACCCCAAGAGACTGGAATTTGAACTCTGCAGCTTTTGTCTTTAGCGGATAAATATTTTTCACTTCAATCAGGAAATGCTTGATAAATGTATTAGGGATTTTCGAAGTGAGTCGAATCATTAGTCCAGATTAATGCTTTGGCGGAAACCATTTGAGAGTCATCCGTTCTTGAGGTGATTGACAGATCAGAAACTGGAGAAGCTAAAGATTTAGGATTAAGAAATCGCAGAAAAGATTTCTACGAGAACTCATATAAATAAGCTGGTCGTGAGACTGGCGTTTTGAAATCTAAGAAACAACTTATATTGTTCCAAGCAACAAAGACTGATTGACAGCTTCAACAATATGAAAACAATGCCATTGTCTTGGAACTGGGCTTTCTCAAATCTTTTCTCGAAAACGTGGACTCTGATTGGCTCAAATTACATATGTCAATTAGACCTTACAATGCTAACACTTTACAGGCTTTACTATGCACATTTGTAAATGAATAAATTTATGACTTTCTTCGTACTCTGAATTTTAATTGAAGGAATTTGCAGTATAGGAAAAAGCATTGAAGTTTTAGTTATTTGAACAGTTAGGATTGCAGATCTATTGTGATAATCTTATCGTCCATGGTTTTCTACGTGCTTTATTCCCCTCATTCACTCCCCCGCTAAGAACCGATGTCAAATTTCCACCAATCAAAACCAACATCATCACGTGTCCGAATCCTCGGGCTCGTTCGTGATTGGTCGTCAGAGTTCGTGTTTTCACAATAGGTTCGAACGCCCGAGTTTGGTTTGTAGACTATGTCTTATTATGAAGAGATTGAGTTGCAGAAGTATGGTTGAGATTTCGACGATTTCTTTAGCTTTGATCGTATAGGATTGGAAATTCTAATGTTTGGGCTGGCGACAGGATAATCTAGAATGCTATTTAGGGTGTTTTTGTGTGTTTTTCTTCTGTATTTCGTGCGTGGCTCGTTGGGTAAGTAAGCTCACTTATTTGTCGTTTTGAGCGCTCGTTCGACGCTCGTTTAGGGGTTTCGCGATATTGCTTTAGCTACCAAGCGAAGAGAGTTTATTTCTCACTCTTTTCAGAGAATTTCCTTAGCATAAGCTTTATTTTATCGCCTTGTTTCCATCCCCATGGGGTAATAAACCAATACTTATAGTGAATATAGTAAAACAAGTTATTCATCAATGTAATGCTAGTCAATATGCCGAACTCTCCATTGCGCGACATGCTTCGACTCTCGACAGAAACCTCCAAAAGAAGTATTTCTTGAACTCTGCTGCTCCAACTATTGCTACTTATATTTTAACTTGAATCTTAAAAAATTGCCCAGGGTTTCTTAATTAAGATCTAAAACCCTATTTCCAAACTGTACTTCAAAATACAACATTCACACGTGGTATATATGTTGTCGTTCTTAATGCCGGCATAAATGATTCGAAAATCCTTTTGAGGGAACTTTGCTACAGAGAATATATATATATACATTCTTTCCTTAGAGAAACATAAGTATTGATGTAGTTAGATAGAAGTTATGTGATCTCAGAGATCTCCAGCTATGCGTCGAATCAAAAAGGTCATCCCTCCAAAGAAAAATATAATTCTCTGCATAGAAATATAAAGCACTGCTCGCCTTAAATGAATTTACAGATTGACTGTATCGAGATTGTCTTTCAAAGCTGTATAGTAGAAATAAAGATACGATAGTGATTTCTAACGTACATGAAATACGTTTACAAACTTGTGAACTTTACGACGTCTGTACTTTTTGTTTACTTGTATTTAGCAAATCCTATTTCGCGACATCAGACCCTTGAGTGACCGAACTTATTCATCTGAAACTTAGTTGGCTTGTTTTTTTAGACTTAAATAATTTCCGATTGTTAGGAAAATTAAATTAAGGTTGGGTTGAATAACCGCGAAGATAGCGGACTACAAACGGAGGAAAGCTTTCGCGTAGTGTTTACTAACGTCGAGGTTTTGTTATCGTACCAAAGGAACATAGTTCATTGCGAACGAACAAGTCAAGGGTTTTTGTTGAGAGATCGTGCATTTCACGCTGGGCTTGATCAATTAAGACAAAACATTTACGTTACTTTAATTCCAAAATTCCTCCCCAGCTTCTATTATTTAGTCATTGTATGTGTTGTTTCTCTGTTATAGCGTCTTCGCCACGACTGCTGTTTGCCAATCGAAAAGACATCCGAATTCTACGAAGTACTAATGGCTCGCCAAATGACACTATCGTTGTCAGTGGTCTCGAAGACGCGATCTCTTTGGATTTCGATTACCAGCAGAAACTCGTCTTTTGGACGGACGTTAGTTCAGAGAAAATTAAAAGCGCTCGTCTGTTTGGCAATAAAAACAAAGTTAGAACTGTTATCGATATTGGATTGAAGCGTCCTGAAGGATTAGCTGTCGACTGGGTCACCAAGAAGTTTTACTGGACGGACTCACAACTTGAAACAAATCGAATTGAAGTCGCCAATTTTGATGGATCCTTTAGGAAAGTGCTTTTCTGGCATAATTTGGGTCAGCCAAGGGCTATAGCTGTAGACCCTACGTCTGGGTAAGTAAAAATCATAAAAGATTTACCTCCATTTGCTTTGAATTCAAGTCCATTGTATCTTTATCTATAAACAATGCTTTATCAAAAACACCCTGGATTTTCTTGCAAGGAACGTTTCTGAAAAAAACTCTTTCTTTCTTTTCGAACAGAGCCAGAAATATTGCTTGTAGAGTAATTCTTTTGTTTGTTTATTTGGGATTCGTGAGATTTTTTTTGGAGTTTACATCCTACAAACCTAATTACAGGCTTTGTGATTATACATGAATGTAGTTCTTTAGCAGTGTATCTATTTACGTTTTGCTTCACGCAGGGAACTAAAATGCCTCTGAAGATTCCTATCTAGGTACAGAGAAAATTCCTTTACTCTTCTTTCAGGAATAGTATTTTTTTGTTAGTTTAAGGAGAGTTTTTTGTTCCGTAAGCTAATCTGCTGAATTACCTGTAAATGAAGGGAACCCTGTAACATGTAATTAACACCTCAGTGGTCAATCCATTAAATCACACTATAAAGCAAATGTTATCACCATTTAGAACACTACAATTAAGTCCTCTATCCTTTATTTTACCCCCTCCACAACCAGCTGCTCTGAAAAACAACAAAAACTCTCCAAATTTGTCTTCTCTGTTTAAGAATGTTACATATAAGATGTCATTGTAGTTAATGCACTAATTCAATTCAAAATCTTTTATGATAGCAAGCATAACTTTGAAAACCCAACACACTCAGCATAATCTGTGAAAACCATTATCAGAACCTTACAATACAATATTTTGGTCACAGGAGTACTATTAATTGTGATACTAAATAATAAGACAAAGGAAAGGTCGAGTCGTTCTCTGTAGTTGGCGATTAGTGTGATTAGTAAACGAAATCTAATTGATGCTTTCCATTCTCATTTACTATAGGACTATAATTATTTTTGACTCTAGGCAAACTTTTGTGTAGACCATATAAACCAGACATACTCTAGCAAGGGATGTTCAGTTTTTGAATAAGGAGTTTGGTTTACCTTTAAGTCTGTCTCACCTTTGAGAATATTAAGAAAGGCCATCATAAGATTTGATAGGAGATGATTGTAAAGTCACTATCAGTAATCATCTAAGGTAAAACACAGACGAACTTGAAAGGTACAAAATCTGTAAGAGCGAGCTTAAGTTTTTAGAGATTAGGTGCAAGATTTTTGAGGGAGATCAAATGAGTTAAAATCAAAGTACAGTCTGTATGTCTTTCAGTTGTAAAGTAAGATTGAGATGTCAGACAGTTTAAGATGCAGATGCTAAGGAAACCGTTCCCAATATTAGTTTTGGAATTCATTATCAGTCCTTCACTATCCATGCATTCATTCGTTTCTCCTATTTATCCATCCCTCAGACCAGTCATTCATTCATATATCCATTCATCTACCCTCCTACTCATTCATCTCATCCTTCTCAAACAAACTCAAATATTGGGAAGCCCTTAATCTGCTTCTGGATTTTATCTCTTTTCCATAACCATACTGGCTTATCTTACCAAATGATTTAAATTCAAATAATTCTTGTGGTCTTGACCTTGAGAAAATTTAGATTTTTAAGGACCAATATTGATGTCAAGGCAAGGCTAGTTTATATAGAAGAACGAAAATGAACATGAATTATTGAAATATATTTTTAGTTCAGCCATACTATTACAAGGAAATTCTTTCAATTTTTTCAATTTGTTTTTATTCATGCTGAAAAAATGATAAAAAGGACAGATTTTTTAGATATTAATGGTGTGTATTTCGGTTTGAATGCTTACATTTTATAAGCCATATCATTTCAATTTTTCTTGCCATAGCCTTCATCAAAATGTCAATGAAACACAAATTTTAAATGTTGGACAAGAAAGAATTTCATGCGCATTGATTTGTTCATTGCATAATCTGTAAGTTTACTATAGTTTACCCAAAAACTATTTTATTTTATTGTTTGAAGTCATATAGTTAACTTGTGTGTGACTATCATGTGAAGTAAAACTTTACCATCATCATCATCATCTTCATTACCACTATCATTCACATCATTGTCATCAAAACTGCCATTATCGTCATCGTTACTCTGGCTCACATAAAATCTCTAAAATAACTGTCCCAAAAGGCCACAGGTTTATCAGGTGCACTATTTAACGTTAGCCTCTATATAAATAAAGCTGATTTATTAATTGTTGTCATCACCATCATCACTATTAATCAACATCATTACTATACAAACTCACAGCACAGATTTAACATTTGCCTTGAGTATGATAGTCCATCGTTATTTCCACCTGCAAACCTGAGATTTGGCCTCCCGTTTAGTCATTAGCGGGCAGCTATTTCAAGCCCTGCCAACACTTAAAAGCCATTACCCATAGGGATTGTGCAGTCATGTAATTCTCAATGTCCTGACCTTCAGGACAGCCGATTGTACAGAATCAGAAATAAAGCATTATCCATCAGGGTCTGGTCATACAAAGGGTGTATTAGCGCTATCCAATGGATAAATTGATGCTGATGTCCAATCAATTTTTTTCACTGGATAAGGATTTATTCATTAAATAGCATTATCCACCCTTCGTCAACCAAGCCCACATAAATCCTTATCCACCAGATAAACTTTATCCAGTTACTCAAAGCTTGATAGGAATTATCCACTAGATTTTGTCGGGTGGATAACTATTTGAAGGATAGTACTCTCAGGGACTTATGCTCCTTCTGGCATGAAGAAGATGATGATAATAATAATAATAATAGGACGTACTTGATGAGCCCATTTGAAAATCTCAATGCGCTTACAAAATCTAAAAATTGACAAAACTAAGAAAAAATAAATGAACTATATCTAGGTAAAAATACTAATGTCACGAGTCAGATGGCGACGGAAAAGACAAGTCTTAAGTGCAGTCTTAAATGATGAGACGGATGGGGCTAGCCTGACATGCTCGGGTAAAGAGTTCCAGAGTTTGGGTGCAGCGAAGGAGAATGCCCTCTCGCCATAGTTGATTTTGTTTGGACGACTAGAGATCTGTAATAAGGTTTTTGCAGAGGAGCAAAGTGTGCAGCTATGATGATGATGTATGAATAGCACTTTTGTCCACTTGATATTTCTTATCTTGTGATAACTAACCTTATTCAGGCTTTGGAAAGCAAAAAAATAGGCAGTTACCTTTAAAAGGGTAAAAAAAGTATTAACCACAAAGAGTTATCAAACATAGGGCCCTCTGATTTTGAGATCAATTTAGAATAATTTAATAATTTATTGTTGATCTTTATGGAAGGATTAAAACCAGGGACCAACAGGCTCCAGTTCTAGATAAGATATAAGATAAATGGATTTAACAGTGGCATTTCTACAGTGTCTTCGTCTTATAAGCGCTAAGTTCCATTGGAAATTAGAAGTTAATTTTTGCATAAAGTGGAAAACCGTAGAACCAGGAGAAACACTGGATCCAGAGTAGTAAATAGATAGCAAAGTGTTAGAAATTGGACCAAAGTCTTTGGGTAAAAACCTTATTTCATTATATCATCGGGAACCAACAAACAACTCAACTCAAATGCAACACTGAGTCTGATAATGTTCTAGAAAAACCTTTACTTTTTTTGTTATTATATTGTTATGTCTAAGTTATTGTTATGTAAATATAATGGTTAATTTGTATATTGTCAGTGTGGATTTTCTCTTATTTGTGTTTTGTTTTTGTTGGTTGGTTGTTGTTTTTTTTTCTTTTTTTCTTTTTCTTTTTTCTTTTTTGCATAGACAAATCATTATTTTTCATGTGTGTCATAGGATTTTTTTATTTTTCAGCATTCGTCTTGTGGTTTTAGAAGATTTGATTTTTTATGTGTTTGTTTATTTTAGAATTAAATATTTTTTCACCAAAAAATAATGATAATAATTAAGTAACTCTAGCAAAATCTGATTGCTAAACCCACAATTAATTCAAATTCTCACTAAAACGTTCAAAATTCTCACAGGTTTCATATCACAAAAGAGAAAAATTTCACAGCTTTCTTCAAGTTTAACATTCTTAAGATGCCTCATTTTATTTTGTGAGATTTTAGATTTGTATTCGATTATAATCATACTGCAAAGAAACTAAATTTCATTCTTTATACTTGTAGATTTTCAAAAGCAAAATTAAAACTTTTGTGCCCTCGTATAATATATCTTTGAACATGGATTTTTTCATTACATTTTTAAACGTAACATTTTCAAATCATCCTAAATCTGATTTTAAAAAGTTACATTTTCAAGTGGCATATTTTTCATATTTTGTAGTGTAATTAGTATTAATAACTTAGTACAATAGTTTAAACTAAACTTATTTAAAAAATGTTAATATATACATTTTCAAAGTATTTTATTTTTCATTTTACAATAAGGATTATACTTCAGCCATGAAAATTTTAAGCTTTTTTCTGGTTACGTTTTCCTGAACTTTCTACTGTTTCAAACCCTTAAAATTGAAGCATTAAGCTCAAATGTACAGATTCATTAGAATAGAATATTATTTATAATCAATATTCTCAAGATACATTCACAGTATGCATTTTAAAAACTTGAAAAAAATCTTAGTGTTAATTAAAGTTGGAATGTCTTCACTATTAATTCAGGATACATTTGCAGACACGTTTTAAAATACTATTTCAAATTGATCTTTGAAATGCCAAATGAGTGTCGAAACCAAGACAGCTCCACAATATTCCTGAAAACAATTTGTCCTATTTCGACAGAATTAGGAAATTGGTCATTTAAGTGAATAAAACCAGCCCAACCCTCTTGTCATTTCACTAGTCACCCCTGACATTAAACCGACAGCTTAAGTGAACGATAAACATTCGGGTGGTCATTACACTACTTAAGTTTTCATTATCTGATTTAAGTTGATAAGAATATACAAAGCCATCTCTGTTGCTGTTGTCAGACAAATCTGAGGTGGGGGTTGTAAATGGATTTTGTAAAAGGATCAGACAAAATCTGTCAGATCTCTTTGTCAGAAAGGGAAACTTTGGCGCAGATGAAAGTTAAAAATCTTGCCTTGAATAGATTGTTCTAAAAAACTTATAATTATAACAAATCCCTTTGGTTCATTGCATAAGATGAAAGATGGTTTTAATTTCTTCTAGTATTAAACCTATATAAAAAAATCATGTCAGTGGAAAAAGTCTGTGCAGCTGAATATTTAAAATTTTTGCCTTTAAGATCGCCATTCTGAATCTCAAATAGTAATAACAAATCTTTTCAGTTCATTTATATTAGCTAAAAAGAGTATTCTGTTCTATCATACTATACGAATTCTATTCAAATTTATCCATTCAACAACTGCTGAGAAGACAGTGCCATAATCCCTGACAAGAAAATTGATCTTTCCTTCAGACTTTAAGCTTATTATATATGTATATATTTTTTCCTTGATTGATCTTAGCCTCATGTTTTCATAGTGGATAAGGTTTATGTAATAGTATTAAATTTCTTTCTTTTAGTTTCCTTGTGTTAGTCATAAGTTCAAAGCACTTGAAAAATTCAGYATTGTTTATACATGAAGCTAAGGTAGTCCTAGGGGGAATTCTTCATTTTTTTTTTCTTCTTTCCTAAAAGACAACAACAAAGAAGTTAGATATAGATGTACTGTAGGGCCATTTTTCTTTTCTGGATCAGAGCTTATGCTATACAAAAAAAGATTGTAGATTCATCGCACATTAATTATAAATTAGAGGAATATACCCTATAAGTTCTTTTTGAAACAATTACCCTTGATCATAAAGCAATGCACACAGGAATATGTAATGTGGGTATATAGCAAATGTTGTGAAATGTAAATTTAATTTTACTATAGTGTTAAACATTCTCTAACTACCAGTAAGTTATTGCAATCACACTTTATACACACCTCAAATTATAGTTTTAATAGTTTTAATTTTCTTTAAATATTTCCATTTTGAGTTTGCCTTTGCTCAATATGCATCCTTAACCTCAATGGTGTTCAAATATATTATTTTACTTTTTATTAAGACCTATAATAAGGAATGTTATATGTACTATGGAACAAATCCACAGGCTTTGGTTGAATGGCTGAATATTTTGATGCACAACCAGGAATAATATTGAGCAAAAGTGAACCTGAAACTGGAGTATTTTACACACATTTCCTTCAACTGAAATTGAGGCTGTATCAAAATACATTATCAACTGATGGCGTTCAAATGTATATTCTTTTTATTTTAAAAGGCCTCGTAACGATATGCTTCAATTAAAGAACCACAGGATTTATTTGAATGACATCTAATAATATATCTAAAATCACACATATTTCCTTCAACTGAAATTGAAGCTGTATCAAAATACCTTATCGACTGATTGTATTCAAATGTATATTCTTTTTATTTTAAAAAGTAATATATGTACTATGGAACGATATGCCTTGATTAAAAAACCACAGGTTTTGTTTGAATGACATCTAATAATATATCTAAAATCAAACATATTTCCTTCATCTTAAATTGAGACCATATCAAAATACTTAATCAACTAATCCCCTGATATATGACAGAATGGGTCTAGGATTAAGGTGTGTCTTGCCTATAAGTAAGGATTAGGGTTTTAGATAAACCAGATAACCAGTGTCAGGCTTAAATGAAAGGAGAATGAAAAAAATTGAAAGGAGAAATAGTTTGTTAAAGAGGTTGTTTCAGAGTTTGATTTGTAAGTTAGCTGTGCTCTGACTTAGATTAGGCCAGAGGTTGTTTCAGGGTTTGATCTGTGAGTTAGTCATGCCCTGACTTAAGATTAGACCAGAGGTTGTTTCAGGGTTTGATGTGTGAATTAGCTGTGACCCAACTTAAATCATCCAAGAGGTTGTTTAAGGGTTCTATCTGTGAGTTAGCCATGATCTGACTTAGATCAGCCCAGAGGTTGTTTCAGGGTTTAATCTGTGAGCTAGCTCAGTGCCCTGACTTAGATCAGCCCAGAGGTTGTTTCAGGGCTCAAGTCTTTTCTATGTATCACTCATTATTGTTAAGTTTAGATGAAATCTTTCAGGGGAAATATCGAAAATAGAAAATAGCAGGAAGCTTGTTGGAATTCTTATGAAATATATAATAATACAGCACTAAGCTTGAAGATTTCCAGGAAAAAAAATTGATGAAAAGATAGGGGGGGAAAACAAAAGAAATAAGAAGGAAAGAAAGCCAGAAAAGATGTGGAATAAGATTAGATTTTTCAATTAAAAAAGCAAAGCTTGTCAAAAAGACAAAAACATCGTTTGAATTGGTTACAAAAGATTAAAAGCCTGAGCACACTTCCATTAGTGTACTGTCTGCACATGTCAAAATGAATATTACACATTTATTTGTTATCTCAGTACTTTCCTTTCACCTGACATTTTTGCTTTAAAACTTCCTCTGTGGTTTTGTCAGATATCTATCTTGGATTCCTGAGATTTGCGAGGTCATCTTCAGACTTAATGCATAGAAATGAGTTGTTATCGTGTGGGATTTTGTGAGGGGAACGTTTATACCAGGAAATGCAATTTCTTGCATACATTTTCATTTTTGTGAGAGATGGTTGAGGATCTCTCTTTTTTGAGGTGGGAACAGTGGATGTCTATTTATTCTCTTCTAATTATCCTCTTTATTGAAGCTTTGACCTGAATTTGCTAGACTATTTGGCTTGAATAATATAATGTTTTCCAATTTCAGACCATACATCACTCCCTCAACCATTGATTCTTTGTTTATCAACAATCTTTGAGAGCATACTTATACATCAATATTGATAGAGCTCAGGTTTTTTTTTTTTTAGAAAAATGTTTTTCCTATGAAACAAAATCATTGGCCTAGGGAATGTATGTAAACATTATACTTCTCCAAACACTTAATCTCTTGTGTTCTGCCAATCTCCAAATGCTCATAACAGCACACACAACAGTTCTATTTTCTTCTCTAAAATTGAAATCATGGTAGTTTATATTTTGGATATGAAGAACAAAATAGAAAGTGTTCACACAAGCCATGTGCTCTAATAAGACACATGCCTGAGCAATCAAAAAGTTTGATTGATAACAGTCATTTCATAATATTGAATAACGATATGAATAACAGGAAGAATGAGGCCTCTTGGGTTAATTAATGACCTCTTGGCCATCTGACATTAAGTCAGATTTAGATAAATGACTATAAATTTTCTTGAGGGTAAAACGAAGGAATTGATGGATCTGTCATTCAAAATGGATTAGATGAGTTTGAATATTTAAATTTTTAATCTATTGTACTACTATTGTACTTCCTTTCTTCCTCATGATATTTTCTCATGATTTTCTTATAATATTTTTAAATTCATTCAAGTTTTTATCAGATAAAAATATTTTCCAAAAATTTCCATTTTTTCTTACAATAATATTTCAAGATTCCTTTAGGATGTTACCAGATATTTATTTAGACCAGAATGAATGCTTTTCATGTAAATATTCAACACAGAAAAATATTTTTTTGCATAAAGGAGCGATAGGTTTGGATATTGGAGAGTTATAGCACTGATTTTCTTTAAGAACATTACATGGTATTCATTACTCTGTCCATTTATCCATTCTTCCTTGCTCAATCCATCTTATACTTTCTTCCATCAAACCATCCTTATCTTTGCTTTTATCCATACATTAATCCATCCATCTATCCATCTATCCACTCATCAATCCATCAATCCATTCACCCATCCATCCACTCATCCATCCATCCATCCATCTGTCCTTCCATTTTTTGTCCTAACTTGAGCAGTTCAATATGACATTCCAACACCTAACATTTCTGTGCATCCATCCATCCATCTCCCCATCTATCTATCTTATTCAATTCACTCAATAATTCTATCATTGTCCTATCCATAGCATTAATCTTACCTATCCATTCTATCCATTTACACATTGCTTTAAGTAGGCTTCTGTGAAAACCCAATGTTTAAAATTTCTTACAGCTCAATGTGCAAAAGTATAACCTCATTTAATGTCTTTGCATGTCTTAGTATGTTAAACTGACACATTTGGATGCAAAGCTGGCTGGTTTTACCAAATACCGTAAAGCAGTAAAAGCTCGCTTGGTAGCCAAAAGCCTTATAGAAGTATGCAAATGAATAAATGGGGTCATACTTTTGCACGTTGCACTATAAAACTAACCATTTCTCATTTCACAGATACATGTTCTGGACCGACTGGGGCGAAGTTCCCAAGATTGAACGTGCAGACATGGATGGAAACAATAGAACTGTCATAGTCTCAAAAAGAATATTTTGGCCAAACGGCTTAACCATCGACTACAAAGATAGAAAAATATACTGGACTGATGCTAAATTAAACCATATTGCGTGTACCAACTTTAATGGTGATCGCACTATGAGTGTTGTCCAAGGGTCACTGCCGCACCCATTTGCGCTCAGCCTATTTGGAAACAAGCTGTATTGGACAGACTGGACGACACGGTCGATTCATTCTTGTAATAAAAATACTGGTCATGGAATGCAAGTGTTAAAGTCAAAGATTGAATCACCAATGGATATCCATGTGTTTGAGCCAGATCGACAAATAAAGCTACCTTCAAGTAAGTACTCAAATAATGTAGTTTTGATTAATTAGTGTACTGTACTAAGCTCTGCCTTGCCGAGCTTTAATAATGATGATTAGAATTCTTCTCATGTGAAGAAATTTGATTGGTTAATTTGGAGTCAATAACTTAGAGTATTAACTCTACACCAGTTCGATTACTGCAGTTTTTGATATTATGCGCACTCAGACATTTCAACGGCTGGTTGTGAAATTACTTTCTTTTACTGCCGCCCGTCAGAACATAAAAGGTACCGTCTGATTATTTTTGATTGACGGCAGCGAAAAAACAAATTTCAGTGTGCATCTTTTAACTACCAAGTTTGCAGGATATCTGAAATTGCAGTAGTGGTAGATGTTCAATAATGTGTTCTTTTTCTGACAGGTCGAAAACAGTGTGGACAGAATAATGGTGGCTGTAGTCATCTGTGTTTACTGGCCCCCCATGGGTACTCGTGTGCTTGTCCTACCGGTGTCCAGGTCCTCTCGGATGGTAAAACATGTGAAACAGGTAATTTACTCCAACCGGTCAAGCATTGCTTTACGAACATAGGAAAAATATGTTAATCCCAAGAAACTAGATCCCCCTTCCCCAACACATTATTATAACATTTGCACAACCATCGCCCCTGGAAGGGCTCTTCCACGAGGTTTGCTCCACAGGCCCTAACATTAAGCCATACCCTGACTTAGATCAACCCAGAGGTTGTTTCAGGGTTTGATTTGTGAGTTATCCATGCCCTGACTTAGATCAGCCCAGAGGTTGTTTCAGGGTTCTATCTGTGAGTTAGTCATGCCCTGACTTAGATCAGCCCAGAGGTTATTTCAGGGTTCTATCTGTTAGTTAGCCATGCCCTGACTTAGATCAGCCCAGAGGTTATTTCAGG